GAATCAATATTGAGAAGATATCACATTATTTCGAAATCTGAAAATTATCGACGTGAAATTTCAAGTTTTTAACAGTAGGGACACCTGCGTTTTATAGACATCTTTATCATTCTTTTGAAGTAATCAAATATCTGATGTCACTTCTGTCAGTTCAATTCTGTGATTTGATTTTGAAAAATTGCGAATTCAGTAGTTGTTTAGTAATATACGAAACCGCGAAGTCGAATGGAAGATAAAAGGACTTGCAGTTCTTTCTCGGAGACGGTATTATTGACTCATTTTTCGGAACTATAGCACAACAACAGCCATTAACATAGTATATATATGTGATATATATCCGGGAAAGAAGTACTCACTTTTTTCCCACGGGAAAAAAGTAATTTTTGAAAAGTGACATTTTATAACCTGTCAACAGAGATGAAATGCCTAACTTTTTTCCCGTCACAGAAAAAATTCATTTCTTGTTTGTCTCGGGCAGTTGTGCGCATGTGTTTCCACATGGGCACTTCTGCCCGAGTTCAGTGTAATTTATTGACACTTATTTTCATGTTTGGGACTTTTGGGAGATAGTGCTGTCTAGTGTTTGGGATCACACGTTAAAAGGTAAGGCCCCCGTCATTCCTTGCTCGCACAAGACTTTCGAAGACTTTTGAGGGTTGCTCGTAAGGGGGCAACCGAATGACGGATAGAACAAATTTTAGAACAAACAAATTTTAGAACAAACAAATTTTAGAGTCTCCTCGGTGGCTCGGACATGTCCGAGCATCCGGAGAGGTTCCCGACTATAGATTATCAGGCTTCCTAAATAAATCGGTTGATGCATATATCAGCCCGTGTTTTTTATGGATGTTATGGTGTTGTCTAAGTGTTGTAATATTCCGGGTAAGGTCACTTTCAGTGATGTGGTATTTGTATAATCTGTTGGCTATTTGCAGAATGTGTTCATTGATTCTGGGCAAATTACCACATCTCTCGTGGAGGTCTGCCACTCGAGAGTATCTATCACCATTGGTGATAATAGCGTACCGCATGGATTCACAACCACTCAGGGGCGTCATTTCAGAGTTTGTCAGGGGGGGGCAAGATGAGGTCAGGAGAAAAGTGCGCCGCAGGCGAAATTTTTTTTGCTTCAAGGTCAAATGGTTTCAAATCGAAAGTAAAGTTTCCCAACCAGTATGTGCAGATGCAGATTTTCATGCATTCTATGTGCAGAAAAAACTTTTCTTACTTATACAACGATGAATTTGAGGAGTTTTCATTCAATATAAATAGGTTTGGACACAACCAACTCAGGTAGATATAACAAAACAAAAAACCACATTATATGATATTATATTGAGCATTGAACTTAGAAATAACTCTCTGGTAACAAACGTAACAAAAACAAAAATAAATAAGAATTCTAAATCAAATAAATATGTCACAGAAATAAAGGTACATTGACGTTGTAATCACAAAGGAGTAGTAAATTCACAATTAGTTAATTCAACAAAGGATATCGTCGTTTTTTCATCCTGGTGAAATGATCAACAGTTTCGTCAAGATCGATATTTTTCACTTCATCCGATTCAACAGATATCACGAGTAAATCACTCAATCTATTGTCTGCAGTAGTACTCCGTAAATAACTTTTGATTATTTTCATTGAAGAAAAAAATCTTTCATTGGTAGCTGTTGTTACGGGTAAGGTAAGAACCAAATCTATTAATTTTAATGATTCACTAAAAGCTTCTGGTAATGCATTCAGTCGATCTCTAATGTCTATAATATTTTTGCATACATGCATATCCGATTCTAAAAATTGCTTGGCTGTAGTGAATTCGCTTGATAAACGGATTGAATCAATTTGATTGATTGATTGATTATAATGCTCTATAAGTGGCTTCGCAGAATCTATGTTCAGGAATTCATTATGAGAGCTGACATCAAATATAATTAAGGAATTCAGTATTTCATTGTGATCCAAGAACCTCCGATCTAATTCCGAAATAAACCTGTCTAGGACCATGAAGAATACATCAATTTTGATTTCAGGATTATCGTTCTTGCCTATAGTACTATCAACAAAATAATCGGTTAATCTGCTATTATATTTTCTCTGCCTGGAGTGCCTGGTACGTTGAATAGTCATTTCTTGATCGGAGTTCATTATCGTGGCGGTGTCCTTTATTGCATTCCATGAGGTATCATTCCTCATGTTCTCTAACATTTTTTTGGTACAATTGACCAATTTGAGTGCTGCTACTATATTGAGCTCTGTATTTTGAAGCTCACAAGACAAGGCATGAACTTTTTCTAGTATTGATTCCATAGTGCACAAAGTTAAAGTGAATTCTGTCCTGGAAATTTCTGCCAGTAAACCAGTAGCTTCAGCTCGTACCACTTTATCAACTGATTGCTCAGATAGGGCTGTCAATGTATCCTTGATTGACATATAGCGTAGGTACTTTAACCTTTTTCAGTGACTTATACCAATAAGACCAGCGAGTATCCACTAATCTCTCTAAATGAATAACAGATTCATTTCGTTGTTTCTGTGACTCAACGAACATTTCGTATCGAGTTTGACCATTCATTATAAAAGTATATAAATTTTGAACAATGTCAAAAAAATCGCTCACTGCCTTAATGTGTTTAACTGTGGCAATCAAACAAAGGTTCAACCTATGTGCATGGCAATGTACATAAATTGCGTTTGGAGCAACATCTCGTATTCTCTTCTGAACCCCTGACAATGCACCACTCATTACTGATGCTCCGTCATAGCTTTGAGCAATACACTTTTTCAAATCCAGTTTGTAGGTCATCATGATATTTATTATCTCTGAAGATAAACTTGCAGCATCAGATTTTTTCATATGATAACAACCCAAAGCTCTTTCCTGGACATTACCTAATTTATCCACGAACCGGAGAACAAATGACAACTGTTCCTTTTTTGAAATATCTTTCGATTCATCGACTAAAATAGAGAAAAACCCATGCGATGACATCTTGTCTAGAATAGATTGTCTTGTAAGAGCACCGACTGTAGCGATTAAGTCGTTTTGATATTCTGGGGAAGTGTAGTGACCATATCGTAGAGACAATTTTTCTTTCAACCTCTTATCTTCATCAGAGAAAATTTCTAGCAGCTCAATGAAATTTCCTTTATTCCTAGAATTTTCGCTTTCATCTTTCCCCCGAAAAGCTAGTCCTTGCCTCCCCAGGAAACAAGTTGCTTTAATCAACCATCGAACATGCCGGCGGTTATCTTCAACATCACAGGCGCGGTTCTCGTTCAACGTATTTGCTATGTTTTGGGAAGTTTTATTTTGAATTGCAGTGGCATTTGTCCAAAATGTCATAGAACTTATATGTTTCTGACTCACAGAATGTTGTTGAAGTATGGATTTGATATCTCTCCACTTACTCACACCATAGTCAACAAACGCTACTTTTCCGTAGGATTGTCCAGCAAATACAGTATTTCTACAGAAATGTCTACATGCATAGCAGTAAACAGAATCATCTTCAATGGAGTATTCAAGCCATCTGAATATTTTGTAGTGCTCGGGATTGAATCTTCTGCCATTTTTTACTGGAAATTCGGAAATAATCGGTTGAGCCGGAGGGTGGTTGTGAGACAATGATTAGTTTGATGTTATCTTTAAATTATCATTGCTCGAAGTGCTCGAACTGGCAGACGCTGTAGATTGCAACTGCAATTTTAAATAAATAAATCTTAATACACTATTCGAAATCAGCAGTCAACTTACCCTGTTAGGATGACCAGCATTTGAACGAATATCGATGACACTTCCGGTTTCAATATTCGGTTGCTCGCTATCAGTCTCACAACGATCACTCAAAGTGACAGTTTTTTTGTTGCAATTCTTCAGCCAATTTTCCATCAGGCCTCTTGAGCCAGCCGATCTTTTCATTATATTGGAATCGAGTAGCTCAATAAGTTCAGAAATTGTCAAAAAGGGAATAATGCCCGTCCTACCTATTAGGATTTCAATTTGCGATTCGCGTCTCACGCGGTAACAAAAGCAAGATGATATTGGCACAAATAATCGAACGTGTTGTAACGGAGCTTCTAACCTTAACCCTCTACAGAGCCACTATACGAACGACGAACGACACATACTCCTACAGACTGTCAGACTCCAGACTGCCCCTTTCCATAACACCTACAATCAGGCGATCGGTTTGTTCGCGTTAGAAAAATGAACAGTTCGAGTTCGAAACCATCAGAAGCATGCGCAGTTCCACGGAACTTTAAGAATCAGTATAGTCAGTTATGTTTATAAATGGAACGCGAACAAGCCTAATGTAATGTAAAACCATAATTATGGAATCAAGGTATGTCCAGTGGATTGAGCGACAATTTTCGTATTTTTTCAATTTCTGCTACTTGTTGACTGGGGAGTTACAAGTCACTCTATATTCACCCTATATAATTATTTTGCTCTTCGCTCCAAGGTTCGTATTCACATAATTCAACGAAAAAGAGGCTAGGATCTCTGGCATCGAATTGTCGCTGTCTGAAACCAGGGGGGGGCAGTTGACCCCCCCTGCCCCCCCTAAATGACGCCCCTGCAACCACTGTGCTATCCGAATGCTTGAAAAAAGGGATTAAGTTTCAGTGTTTCAGTCCGTGCGCCATGACACAAGACCCTAGACACAAGCAGTTGCCCGCATAGGCCATATACGTTCCCCCACCACGCGCTTTATTACTTGCGTTCTCTCTGCAGGCGCTAGTCAAGTCAACCTCTTCTTCTTCTCGCTTTTCTCTATAACCTAACCTCTATATGTGGAGAGAAACAAGAAACAAGTAAACAAAACAAAAGCAGGATCTTCAATAGTCAAAATAGACATTCTGGAACTCATACATATGATTTTATATTTGAATTAAACCCATAATGGAAATGTAAGTGTCTGTAATTGAATGATGTATATAATGTACCAATCAGAATGTGATCATTGCATATTATGATAATATTATATTATATTACAGAGTAAATGCCAACTCTGCATCACTGAGCAATCTCGAAGTTTTCAAGCACCTTCAGAAAATCAAGGACAGCAAAAGGAAACACAGGGGTCAGCTTGCTACAATAACTTATGAGGTGAATTCATTGTGCAAGGGATTATAATACATTGAAACAAAAAATCCAGATTTCAAGAAATCATTGTCATCACATATTATTAGAGTCTATTTTCCAGTGATTCATAAGCAAGAAATCTAGTGTAGCTTTATAACTTTGGTGTTGAAAGTATCCATTAATGAATCTAAAATCACTATAATGAAAAAATGCACTACAGATCTTTTGCTTTTCCTAACTCCACACAAGTTTTGACTTCTGGGAACTTTTAAGTAGTGATATACATTTTTTTTACAAATCTCAATATGAGGCAACAATTTGTAGACATAAGTATGCAAGTCATATACAGAGTCCTTTTCAGACAATTCGTTATTTGGAAAATACTCCTTGTGCTGATGAAACTAATGAGAGTGTGAAGGAATGCTTGAAAGCATTAGCACCATTCAATCTCAATAAGACTGAAATGTTGATGATGATAAATTCTCCTCCAATAACAGCATTGGAGATTCAACTGGTATGTACTGATCAAAATTATGTTCTAAATATTCATTCAAACCATCATTAAAATACTTTCCCTATCCACCTCCTAAGGTACCACTGCTTTTCAGGAACATAATGTGATCCGAAAAATGACAAAAAAAGATTATTATCAATAATTGTAGATGACATTCAATTCTGCAACTATAGATCAATGAGGGCTAACATCATTTATTGTCAACCAAAACTTGCCACTGAAAGGTGAGGTCAGACTTGGTAGAATTGATAAATATACTTCTGCTATCCATAAAATTTTGGGATTTTCCACATTGACCTCACTGAACTCTGAACTCACATTTTAGTAGCTCCAACTGGTGAGAGTGGTAGTGTTAGCCCTCATTCTGATATAAATGATTTTTTAATTTCCTACCATAACCATTGAAGGGTATTGTTTTCAGTCCAATTTTGGAAGCCAAGAAAGTACATTTTTCTGAAATGTTAGACCATATTTGATTGAAAAAAAGAACAAAACAAATCATTCAGGGTTCTTTTGAATTTCTGTATTATATGAATGTAAAATTAGTATTATTTTGATATAGATGGTGGAAGAAAGTGAAGAAAGACTAACAGAAGAACAAGTTCAAGAAATCCTAGAGATAATTGTGAGATACTTCCCCTATGTTGTTATGAAGGAGGCTGATGAAGAAGACAATGAATCCCAAGAATGACACCTAATTATGTGAAATAGGTGGTTGGTAAAGGCATAGATCTAATTACACAATAGATGGTCAACGTATATGGCGAACATTCTGCCTGTGCGAATTATTTGCCATCTATTAGGTAGTAGCCGAACGTCTAAAAATAACAGATCGCTAATTTTTCATAAACCTTAGCTAAATCAGAGGGTGTGTATAATTTCTGGGTAAATCGTAGGCGGGGCTTGTTCAATGGAATTCGTGTCTAAAAATAAACAACGTGGCATCGTAGAGGGGGAATGGGTAATATGGAATTATAAACATCTCAATATGGAAATTCATAAATCGTTGATCTAACCATAGATATCTAACTAATTACGGACTAAAACGGAATAATCGGATCATGCACTATTGAAGTTTCAACCATGAATCATAAAACGATAAAACGAATCATAAGTATAAATTAAATACCTATGTTTTATATAAGTACCGGATCTATGATTTAGATCTATGACAATATATACCCTTTCATTTATTCCATGGGCGTCACTACTGCTTGGCAAGGGGGCTGTGCAACTCTGGCTAATTTGTTTTCTTGAAATATTCAGGTATCTATATTGTGATGGTATGAGGTTACCTACTGTGATTTAAGTAAGCAGGTGAGTTTAGTTATCAGTAGTAATATCCCTAGGACAGGGGTCGGCAACCTATTGAAACGGAAGAGCCAAAAGTTTAATTCACAAAATTTTTCAGTTTTCAAAGAGCCACTGGAAATATGTTCATTTCAATGTTGTAGTATTTGCGGTTGTTGGTTTGCGATTCATAATAAATCGATTTGAATACCAAATAATTTTTATTCCTATGAAAACACAAATATAAAATAATATCGATATATATCAATGAGAGCATTGGCTTTGCATGCCTTGGGTTGGCCTAGGGTTTGATAATGAATTAGTATTGTTTGCGTATGGACCTGGAGAGCCGCAACATTACATCAAAAGAGCCGCATGCGGCTCGCGAGCCGCAGGTTGCCGACCCCTGCCCTAGGACATTAATAATAGACGAGATAATTTTATGACAATCGGAAGCTCCTTTCCAGGACGAGCTTGAGACATAAGACATAATATTATGACGCATTTGTCAATGTCGGAAGGATATTCAGCAGAAAATTTACTCGACAATCGTGTTGTCATAGTGATTGATAATTGCACTGAATGCAATTATCAATGTAATGTTGACATGATTGGGTGAAATTGTATCATATGACACAAAATGATGAAATTCGAATGGTTGTTAGAACTGACAAGAAATTTTCAATTAAAGGACTGTTGATGTCTCGAGTGTTTATGAAAATATGAATCAAGAAAAATTAGTCAACAGGTAGGTAGGTACCAACTAGAATATGTTTTTGTTTTTTTTTCGAGCAATCGAAAATGTTTATTTTGTTCTTCAATACTTTTTATACATTAATATGTACTGAAAAAATATCTAGCACAGATGTTTGTTTCTATGGACTTAACCTCACAAAATATGAACATTCGAAAAGGGATATCTATATATCTAACTACTTGATCAAAAGGCGTTTGATATTGACCAAAAACGATACGTTATTCCACATTAAATATGGCGCACGTCTCAATGTGGTGGACTTTTTCTTCTTAATCTCGAAAATTGAAAATTTTGCAATGATCATTCACTACTAAGTTATTTTTTCTTCGTTGTGAGATTGAAATAGCATTTTGGTTGTGCAACAATATGTATTTACTGGAATATTCACATCATATATATAGGTACATTATGAAACTCAAAAGTATTCAGGTACTTCTCCAGTCTGGAAGATCATTCTGGAATTCAATTCGTAATAAAATAATTATAAAGAAACTAGTACGTATTACAGCTTGTTTTAATGAAATAATATCCAACATTGTAAGGAAAATAAGAGCTATCCAAACGCAAAAAAAACAGGAAACCTGAATCAATTGAGATTACCTCAGAAGGTAGATATACTTATAGACCGTTGGCCCATAACACTAGGGGTGTCGATTATCTACGAAGGTATGCCCTTCAAGAGACATGAAGATTGAGTTGGATTATCGGGAAAAAAGTGGTTAGTTGGATCGGTACCCGGTCGCCCATCTCCCTAATCAATCAACTTCCTGTTGAAAGTAATGTTGAAAATTGTATTATAGAAGAAGCTTTAAAATTCATTGGAATAGTCGCATCTCGCCAAATTAACCGGGCGCTAGCCGATTTGCATACGTCTAGGTCGGTCCCGAAGGGCGGCATACGGACCGCAAGTTACCGTTAACCGACATTTCTCTTAGATTATTTACGATGGTATGCCCTTTGGTTAATTCCTTCATTTCGACCCATGAATCAATGCCATAACATTTGCATACAGTTTGGGTGGGCGAATTTAGACATATTCGAAGGTCACTTTACATCATCGATTATATATATCAAGATTATATAATTTTGTATGCCATTCAATCAGGTGATAGATTCAGTTATACTGAATAAGAAAATAGCGTTTGCATACGAATGTATTGTGAGCATACGTCGATTTTGCTATAGGGAGTCTATTTTTTTCAGTTTTTCTAATATTAAAAAGTTGAAACTGGAAATTCCAGGATGATCGAGTGCCAAGGGCTCTCAGGGAGGTTTCGGGGTCACTAAGCTCGAATCTGGCACCTACTACTAATGCCGGGGGCCGGGGATGATAGAGAATGACTCTAGGGGGGATGTCAGGGGGCGCATCTCATTTGCAGAACCGGCAGATAGTCTTGTTGGATTCTATGAATCTGATCCTCTTGGAGTTACAATGGGAGTTCCTAAAGGATCAATCTTGGATCCCATGTTTTTTGTTATTTTCATGAACGATATTGTAATATTCCCCTGAGAGGGGCTCGAACATCATCACGAAGGCGTATAACGATCTTCCTGTATCACGCGTATCAGATTGTTCCCGAGTATCCCAATAATTCTAACATGAATCAGCATATTTTCGAACACCCAATATGTGTCACAGCGACAGAAACATCTCAAAACAATCGATGGAACTATTAGAGAGAGAGAGAGAGAGAGAGATACTTTTCTATGAGAAGCTTCGAGAACAAAAGAAGGGTACCGATGATTTTCGGGAACATTCGACAAGCATGCCAGCCAAATCATCTGATATATAAGGACGACAGGACAGCAGGTGGTCAGTGATTGTCAGAGAGACAGCCATATACCGCGTGATATAAATGGTTCGACATAAATAGTAGTTATTATGTTTGTTATAAATGAGTGTTGTGAGGAATCAACGATTTATTTTTCTCCGTGTATACGGTGTTCTCCAAGGTAACGAATTTGGAGCCAAAGGCGGAATTAAAGCTTTTCACAGGGTGATATGTGGTTTGAGAACAATTAATCGAATGAGTAGGTACACTCATTTTGTGAATAGCACCTGTAACAGAGTGGAGCTGTGTGCCAGTTACTCGAAGGCTCGGGCCGCCCGGTCAATAAAAGTGTAACTGAAAATTGATTCATAGCTTCCTTGAGAGAATATTTCCAGAAATCACAAGAACAAAACTTGAGATATCGCATTTTTGCGGTTTTTTCATTGTATTTCGTTTCCTTTATGTAGATCAAGATCAAAATTTTAAAAAAATACATATTTCTTCAAGTTTTGAGTTGAAAATATATTTTTTTAGTTATTAGGCCAACTCTATGACGCTTTTGAACTGCCATCCTGAAAAAACTTTTTTTTCACGAGTACTTGCATAATTAATAGTTGCAACTGTAAATTAGGAAGGGGAAACTTTTTTTTACACATCCCCTAATTTACAGTTGCAACTGTGAATTAGGAGATGTTTTGAAAAAAAAAAGATTCTCCTTCCTAATTTACAGTTGCAACTGTGAATTAGGAGATCAACAGTAAATTAGGCAAATATCCGTGAAAAAAAAGTTTTTTTAGGATGGCAGTTCAAACGCGTCGTACAGACATAATAATTAGTTTCTTAGTGGTTTTTGAACCAAAAACTGATTTTTCGAAACTTCGACCTCGAATAACTCGAAACGGGTAAATCGGGACGAGTTTTGTGTAAGTTCTAAAGTTAGAAAGAATTTGATTGTCGATATCTTGAGCTCTTACAGGGTGTTGAACGAATTTTGCCGCCATTTTTGCTAATTTTACTGGGCTAAATGTAATCCCCGCAACTCGCAAATCGTATGCAAATCATTATTCCATGCATAGTTTATGCTTAACTAACCTTGATCAAAATTTGGGAGCTTCGTAGATAATCTTGTACATACAGGTCAATGATGTAAAGTGACCTTCGAATATGTCTAAATTCGCCCACCCAAACTGTATGCAAATGTTATGGCATTGATTCATGGGTCGAAATGAAGGAATTAACCAAAGGGCATACCATCGTAAATAATCTAAGAGAAATGTCGGTTAACGGTAACTTGCGGTCCATATGCCGCCCTTCGGGACCGACCTAGACGTATGCAAATCGGCTAGCGGCCGGTTAATTTGGCGAGATGCGACTATTCCAATGAATTTTAAAGCTTCTTCTATAATACAATTTTCAACATTACTTTCAACAGGAAGTTGATTGATTAGGGAGATGGGCGACCGGGTACCGATCCAACTAACCACTTTTTTCCCGATAATCCAACTCAATCTTCATGTCTCTTGAAGGGCATACCTTCGTAGATAATCGACACCCCTAGTGTTATGGGCCAACGGTCTATTATAATTTCTCAACTTTTCAATATATACCTACTCAATTTCTGATGTTTTTTAGTTTCTGATTTTTTATTATACTTGATGGACATTTCTTTACATTCTCTATAAAGTTCACATAGTATGAGATGATCCACAATAAAATCTATGTGCTCTTTACATTCAACTCTTTGGAGAATTTGGCACTTCTTTTTAAAAATTTGATTTTTAATAAATAATCTTGTTTTATTTCTATATGGCTATTTCCACTTTTAACCATTTTTCGATATAAATTTGCACAATAGCTCGCTATACAGTGTGTCCCACTTACCATGCTCACCATGGGTATCTTTTTAACGGTGAGAGATACGAGGTCGGTTAAATGACACCAAATGTGGAGTTTGTCAAGGACAAGGCCAACTATAATGTGAAAAAATATTTTGATAAAATCTATTCGTTTTTGTTTTATACGCAAAAAACAGATTTTGATCATTTTCATGTCTCCTCCGTAACTTCTTTATTTATGAAAATATCCAAATAGGAATTTCACATTCTCATGGCAGTTTTTCAAGGTGATTTCGAAAAAAATATGAAATTTATACCAACTCTTCTAGAATTTGAGATATCAGCACCAACTTTAGTTTTTCAAATGTAGGTCATAGTTCACTATGATAGTTACAAATAACTTTTTTTTTCTCTTACAGATGATATGTCGCAGTAATAGTTTTGTGTTGATAACAACGGAGTTATCGTCATTTATACAAAAACAAAAAATTATTTGGAAGCCGCCATCTTGAATTTATGAATTTTAACGAAAGAATCATGATCTCCGACCTCAAAAACCACCACTTACCAATTTTGAATGGAATCGGACCAATTCTTGTCCGCCATCTTGGAGCAGCCATTTTTTTTTAATTTCAACAAAAATTCCATAATGTATTGTCACCCGAATTATGAACACCTGCCAGATTTTAAGTTAATCGGAGTTATGGATTTTTTGTTGAAATTAAAAAAAATGGCTGCTCCAAGATGGCGGACAAGATTTGGTCCGATTCCATTCAAAATTGGTAAGTGGGGGTTTTTGAGGTCGGAGATCATGATTTTTTTGTTGAAATTTATAAATTCAAAATGGCGGCTTCCAAATAATTTCTTGTTTTTGTATAAATGACGATAACTCCGTTGTTATCATCACAAAACTATTACTGCGATATATCATCTGTAAGAGAAAAAAAAGTTATTTGTAACTAAGTCATAGTGAGCTATGACCTACATTTGAAAAACTAAAGTTGGTGCTGATATCTCAAATTCTAGAAGAGTTGGTATAAATTTCATATTTTTTTTCGAAATTACTTCGAAAAACTGCCATGAGATTGTGAAATTCCCATTTGAATATTTTCATAAATAAAGGAGTTACGGAGGAGACATGAAAATGATCAAAATCTGTTTTTTGTGTATAAAACAAAAACGAATGAATTTTTTCAAAATATTTTTTCACATTATAGTTGGCCATGACAAACTCCACATTTGGTGTCATTTAACCGACCTCGTATCTCTCACCGTTAAAAAGATACCCATGGTGAGCATGGTAAGTGGGACACACTGTATAACACGTTGGATAATACACACGTAATTGAACACAATGAATTGAAATACCTAATTTCTTCTTCTTATACCTATCTACCTGAGATATATTATTTACCCATTACCCCAATATCTATGCCTACCTAATTTCACCTTGCCACGCTTACCCCTACCATATTGTGCCCTTTCTTTTTATCATAGATCTAATTCCAATCAAATACGTATCAAAAATTCGACCGATACCCGAATTACCTCAATATCTACCTGTCTTATTTTTTATTCTCTGGCATTTCTCAACCCCCTAATCAAACTCAGAGCATAGATCTCTCAGAGGTAATTTCCGAATCTCTACGAATTCTTCCACATCTGTGCATATTTCATTTCATTTCGAGCGACATCCGATGCACGGGGGGGCAAGAGATCTAAATACACGCGGAAAGAATACCTATTAATTATTTTGCAATTTGTTCTGCCATAAGAATCTAGCAAGAGCAAGACGGCAGCGGCAGACGGCTTCCTGACCTACCGCATATAACCCCTTTCATCCCTATCCCTTCCACTTCTAATCATAAATCATTCCAAGCTCCGAGCCACGTCGTTACGCCACGCCCCATATCGTGAAGAACAAGTTGGCGAAACTGATTTTCCATTTCTACCAACAGTGTTTGATGCAGAAACAGCACCATCTAGCAACTCAAATCCAGTACTAAAAAATTTCACATCCAAATCGTGAGCGCGATAAATTTACACGGCGGTTGTCCATCTATTGTGTAATTAGATCTATGGTAAAGGATAATCTACTGTGATTATTCAAAATAAGCAGCATTCCATATAGGAAGAAAAACTAAATAGCTATTTGAATGTATGATTTACCATTTAATAAAATTGATTGGTATGACTTGTGTATTCTCCATCTCAAATTTGGATATGTAACAATATTTGTTATGCCAGATCTGTCATCAATAAAGAGTAGGTACTAACTATTTCCAGCTTTACCCTCTACCCTGAGAGTGTAGTCATGATGGTTGATAGGTGAATTTTAGTTTGAAATTTTGTTGAAAGGAAAAGTAGTAATAGTCTTACCACTTGCATGCCAAATAAAAATCAGGATATAGGATAGTTTATCCAATGATGAAGGAATGTTGATCAGTTTGTAAATGAAATAATTAGAATTTATAGATTATTGTTAACAACTATAATATAATGACAGTGGTTTATTGTGCATGGGTTATGAACAAATAAATACTGGCCTAATATTGGAATAAATTATCTCTTCTGATCACCTAGATCCTCTATGAGGTCTTCATCAATCTAAAACATTAATTAGTTCTAGCTATCAATTGATTGTGTCTGATGTACTCACCTCTGGCCACTTTTCAGGTATAATGTCAAATAGATCATCTTTCACATCTCCTTGTATAACAATTTCATCATCACCAGTAACTGATGAGCCACAGGCAAATCGTGTGCCAAAAAATTTTGCAGCTACTTTCAAATCAATATCTACAAGGCAGGGACAATAGTATTCCAAGTATTTAATCAATCAACAGTCCTTACCAAAACTACTCAACCCTGTAACTACTGTAACAGACTTCTTCTTTCCTCTAGGTGCCCTGGATACACACACTTGTTTTGGACCATCCTCTTTTTTCTTAGTTTTGATCATACCTTTTCCACCCCGTTTTTGTCGCTTCTTCTCTTCTTCAACAGGGTTGTCATCACCTATTCTGACTTTCTCGAATTCTTCTGGCAAGTGCTTTTCAAGCCACTGTTTACATTTTTCATACTCTGGATAATACTCACAATACTGAAATTATAAATTTAATAGAATTATGCACTGCAAAGAGTAGGGATTGTTTCACATTACCTCTAAAGGCATTGAACAATTACCACAATAAATCACATGAAGAGGATAAGAAACTCCATCTCTGGGACCTTGCTTCAGTTTGTCTTCAACAGACATTTTATCACCAGCTCAACGGCCAATGTTTAGTAGGGAACAAGGATTTACTATACTTTTTTAGGAATTTCAGGTGATTTCAATAATTTCTTATGAACAACACCTAACCTCGAACTTTAAATTGACACTGACAGTATGAAGTATGACAGTTCGGTGTCACGAACGTGATTGAGAAGTTCCTAAATCTTTCGAACCATTCCTATCACGTGATATGTTGAGATTGTCTTTTTGGGAGCATCTCTTTGCACCCACATCTCGTTGGGGCCACATTTCTTTGCAGCCACATCTCGTTGGAGCCACATTTCGTTAGGCCCACAGTATCCGAACGTACCCGAACGATGCGATGTTGCCACATATAATTCAAAAATCTCGATTATACTGAGAAAGTGACCCTAACGATACACTCTCCTCTTGATCAATCCACGTTTCTTAAAAAGCTACATTTCGTTGCACCCACATCTCGTTGGGCCCATTTCTCGTTGGAGCCACATTTCGTTGCAGAGCTACATCTCGTTGCAGCCACATCTCGTTCACTCGTTGGGCCCAGATTCGGCGACCCGGGTTCAATGCCTGAGACGGTCGGCATTTTTTCATTTTGTTTTCTCAAGTGATTTTCCGAAAAATATAATTTTTAGGAAGAAGGTTCATTTAGGCCGAGTAAGGTTAGTTGGTTTAAAAAAGTAGTGTCCTTTTTAATGCAGAGGGATATTTTCCTTCCTGAAAAAAGTACTGTCTTTTTAGGAAGAAGGTTCATTCAGGCTGAGTAAGGTTAGATGGTTTTAAAAAAGTAGTCTTCTTCTTTATCCTTCCTCGCTGAAAAAAGTACTGTGGAGGCATTTACTGTGCTGTTGAGGCTTGAAAGAGAAGAAAGTATACCGCAATGTCTCGTTAGAGCCACAATATCTTTCTCAGTAAAATAAGGAACCTTGTGGCAACAGCGCAGCTTTCGGGTACGTTCGGAGACTGTGGGACCAACGAAATGTGGCTCCAAAGAGATGTGGCTGCAACGAGATGTGTCTGCAACGAAATGTGGCTCCAACGAGATGTGGCTGCAACGCGGCGCACTAGGTTTTTTTATGATTATTTTCAATAAAATTGTGAAGCCTGTTTGGTCAGACTTTCATTCTGGTCCACTAATAGCATGGCGCGAGCAAACTGTTATCATTTGTGTAATGATTTAGGCTTTCAAGGATGTTTTTATTTCCTCTCCCCCAGGCTGTTGTTGATTATTCTGTTTTTTTTTTACGAGCGATTGCGCATATTGTATCACGTGATTCACTGTGACCAATCGGGCAATGAGGTTTGAGCTTAGATCATACAGGAATTTGAGATTGGTTCGAAAACTTATGGCATGGCATCTTTTCGGGGTCGGATCACTGGACTATTATAGTTCAGTGGGTCGGATCATTGGGAAGCACTGACCAACCCGTCAGACAGTCTAGATATTTAGCCGTCATTGACTGATCTAGTTGTCGGAAGACGGAACTAATAAACAAAAGCATGAACCAGCGTGAACAAAAAAAGGAGAAGATATATTTCCATTTCTAAATTCTGATTTTAACCTTACTGGATCCGTCACACAAAAATTAGTAAATACTTTAAAAAATACTGGAAAATGTTTATGAAAAAGAGTGTTCAAAGCGTCAATTTCTATAAAAAGTATTACCGAAGATATTATTCTAATAGAAATATACTAAAACTCAAAGAACGTGGTATGTTTCAAGATATTTTTCCGGAAAATGCAGGGTAAGGAAAAAATTATATTAAAATCCATTCAACAGTTTTCAATGAACAAGAAATCGTGAACTATATACCATTATAACGTGTAATATATTTTTCATGTATTATTAGAATTACAGTCACGGATTTGATGAATTCTGGCTCACAAACTGTGTATGCAGGTTTTGACCCTACAGCAGATAGCTTACATGTTGGAAATTTGTTAGTATTGTTAAATTTATTACATTGGCAAAGAGGTGGACATCATACCATTGCTCTGGTGAGCACCATTATTACAAAAAAGTACCAATTCTC